CAGGTGCCTGCCATCATGCTTGGCTAATTTTTGTAATTTTAGTAGAGACAAGGTTTTACCATCTTGCCCAGGCTGGTCTTGAACTCCTGACCTCATGATCCACCTGCCTCAGCTTCCCAAAGTGCTGGGATTACAGGTGTGAGCCACTGCACCCAGCCGGGAGTGTCCCATTCTGTCTCCCACCTGTCACTGCCTGGCTGTGAAATTCCCTCTGTCATCCCTTGTTTCCCGGTCTGCGGATGGAATGACATTACCCCTCCAGCCATTTCCACTCCCAACACTCCCATCACCTCTCCCTGACTCTCCACAGCCCAGCCCATCAGGGCATTGGGTTATTCAAGGATGCAGGTTTCAGGCCTCCAAGCACCTCCAGTGGGAGGGCTTTGTCTGTGATGTTTGACTCCCCAAGTAGGGCAATAAGATTTCTGGCTTTCATGGCCAGGGGTGGTGGAAGGGCCAAGGACAGGGCCTCAATGAGGCTCCAGATTCCTGGGACAGCCTCAAGGGGCAGCCTTGGGCTCCTGTACATCTGAGTCCCACCTGCCCCTTTTCCATGCTGCCTCCATTCAGCGAAAGTCTCCTGTTGGAATGCACTCACCCATTCCAGTAAATACTGGTTTTTCTCCTTCTTGCTCTGCCCAGAGCTTCATCAAGTGGCAGATGTGAGTCTCTCATGAAAGCTGGAGGCCTGGCCGGATGCAGTGGCTCACGCCTGTCATCCCAGCACTTTGGGAGGCTGAGGCAGGTGGATCAATTGAGGTCTGGAGTTCGAAACCAGCCTGGCCAACATGGTGAAATCCTTTCTCTACTAATACAAAATAGGTGGGTATGGTTCTGTGCCTGTAATCCCAGCTACCCAAGAGGCTGACGCGTGGTAATTGCTTGAACCTGAGAGGCAGAGGCTGCAGTGAGCTAAGATCACGCCACTGCACTCCAGCCTGGAAAACAAAGTGAGACTCTGTCTAATAATAATAATGCTGGTAGCTTGAGCTGGCTTAAGCACAGGCAAATAAAATGGAACGACGGGAAGTGGGCACCCAGAGACAGCCTGTCCAGCTTGGGAAACTTTGGGATGGGATCTCAGACCAGGCTGGGCCCAGAGCACCTGGGCTGGAGACTGAGGACTCTCACTGGAGACAGAACCTCCCGGACAAGAGCCATCCCCAGGCCCACCTGCCTTTGAGGTTGCCCAGTCCCTGGGTGGCCTGGGCCACCTGACATATGGCCCTTGACAGTCTATACAGCACCTGGACCTCCACTGTTAAGGTGACCCAGGCAGGCTTGAGCACCCATTTTACAGATGAGAAACCTGAGATTCAGAAAAGGCAGCTCTCCTTTGCACACATAGGCAAGAAGTGGCAGGATGAGCCCAAAAGTCATGGCTGAAGACCCTGGCACAGCAATTTCCCTGCAGGACACTGTGAAGTCTCTAACCCCGGCTCAGGTCAGCTTCCGAGAGACTGGGCACAGAATGCCAGTTACATAGAAGCCTAGAGCTGGACTGCCGGGACTGATATTTTTTAGTGCCTGTGCCAGATCTGGCGCCCAGGGCTTCATCCGGTTGGTCTCTATAAAACCTCTCTCCAGCCTTAGGGCTGGGTGCAGTGGCTCATGCCTGTAATCCCAGCACTTTGGGAGGCTTAGGTGGGTGAACGCTTTGAGATCAGGAGTTCAAGGCCAGCCTGGCCAACACAGTAAAACCCCATCTCTACTAAAAAATACAAAAGTTAGCAAGCCGGGGTGGCAGATACCTGTAGTCTCGCTGCTCAGGAGGCTGAGGCAGGAGGATAACTTGAAACTGCAGGAGGCAGAGGTTGCAGTGAGCTGAGATTGCACCACTGCGCTCAACCCTGGGCGACAGTGAGACGGAGTTTTGATGTTGCTGCCCAGATCGAGTACAGTGGTACGATCTTGACTCATTACAACCTCAGTCTCCTGGGTTCAAGTCATACTCCTGCCTCAGCCTCCCTAGTAGCTGGGGTTACAGACATGTGCCACGACACCCAGCTAATTTTGTATTTTTAGTAGAGATGGGGTTTTACCGTGTTGGCAGGCTAGTCTCGAACTCCTGACCTCAGGTTATCCACCTGCCTCGGCCTCCCAAAGTGTTGGGATTACAGGTGTGAGTCACCACGCCAGACAAAAGAAGCCCTCTCTTTAGTCTTGTGTGGCTGTGCTATTTTGTAGGGGAATGGGTGCTAAAATTCTCTTTCCGCAGATGAGGAAACTGAGACTCAGAGAAGCTAACATACTTGTCCAAAGGCTGCAACTGCCCGCAGCTGGCTGTTCTCGAAGCCTATTATCTTTCCACTCTGAAGATGTGGTCACACTGCCCTGTCATTGACCAGATACTTCACTTTGCAAACCACCAGTGGGTGCCTCCTTGTACCAGGCTCATGGTAAGCACTCACAATTGACGTGAGCTCACACCCAGCCTCTGTCCTTGAGACGCTGAGCAGTGGATGCATCCAGAAACAGCCCAAGGCATGGGCTAGGCAGAGTTCCCAGGGGGCCTGGAGGAGAGAGAAGCTCTGGATGCTGGGGATGTGGGAGGCATCCAGGGCACCAGTGAGCCAGGTCCACCAGAGCAGGAGGAACTCTGAAAGGCAGTACACAGCCCATCTTGGTCACAGTCATTGGGAGGCCAAGCTCCGTGAGTGATTAGGAGGCAGGGCCTGAGCTGGGAGAGGCTCTTGGGGTCAGGTGGCAGGACCCCGGGCCGCCAGCCAGAGCAGAGTAGTCATTTCAAAGGCATGTGGAACCTCCCTCGAGGCTTGGGCCCCACATGGGTGATGCAGCTTTGCCTTCCTTTTGGGGAATGGAGGGAAGGCCCGTCCTGCTATCTACAGAGGCAATGACAGAGGCCACTGCTGGGCACAGTGAGAGGCCAGTGTGTGCTCTGTCTTGGACTCCTACCCCAGGAGTCCTTGGAAAACCAGAGACCGCCACCTTCTGGTCTTCATGGGTGGAACCAAGGTTGCATGCCAAGAGGACAGAGGGCAGTGGTTTCTTTGGCCATCGGGTTTCCATTCCCTCTGGGTCAGTTTTGGCTCCTAGGACCTGCCCCGTGAGCTCACAGAAAAGTATGGACTGCAGAAAGCTGCAGGCCAAGCTGTCCTGGCAGATTCTAGCTGCGATGGAACCAACTGCTCCCCCTGGCCAGTGCCTTCTACCAGGGTGCTGGTGGCCATTAGGTGACAAAGCCCAGACACAAGCTGAGCTGGGAGCAAAGTTCCTTTAGCTCTGGCACCCGGCTGGGCCCAGTGTGTCGGGGACCTGGGATCTGCACCAGAAGGGGTGCCTGCCTGATGTCACCAGTCAGCTTTGCCAAAGCTGACGGACTAGAACACACAAGCTGTGCTTCCCGGGAATAGGGCAAGAGGGGGCTGGGCTGTCCCTGCCCCTCCACATGCTCACCCAGACTCTGGGTTCCAGTCAGGCCTGGGTCTGTTCTCCAGGGTGGATGCTCTGCCTATATGCCCATTCAGTTTCACTCCTACCCAGCCCCGTCTGGGACCCTCTCTGGGCTCAGTCGTTTGTCCCTGGAGCAGAGTGTCGGCCAGACCCAGGAGGCCTAGGGGCCTGCAATTTGCATCCTCAGCACTGGGTCATCAAAGGCTCCACAAGGCCTCCAGCAGCTTGCCAGTTTCTGAGAGGTGAGATCATCCACCTGAAAGCAGTCCTGCCCGGCCCTGCACCTTGATTAGACTTGTTCTCCTAGATCCCAGCTGTCAGCGCCAGGCTTGTCAGCAGGAGGTGACTCTGTTGTTCATTCCTGCCTGGCCAGAGGCTAGGCAAGGGTGGAAGGCGGCTCAGAGTTGGCCCTGAACAATCCCTCCAGCTGGGAGGCCCTGATGTCTCTGCACCCCTCATCCCTGACAGTGGGGCATGGAGAGGAGATGCCATATCTTAGGGTCTTCCACCGTGAAATCCTAGAAGTTTCTGGTGCTCAGATGCTCGGTACAAGCTGCAGGACTTCTGTATTTAGCAGCTGGGCTCTAATGCCTTCCCTGGGGGCCCAGAGATAAATAAGCCCAATGACTACCCAGGAGACGCACCCATCACGGGGAACAGAAGAATGAGTAGTTGGATCTCAACAGTATGACCTGGCCAGTGGGATCTTAGAGGCGATTTCTGTATACAGAACTTCAGAGCATGGAGAAGGGAGGGAATGGAGGCCTGGAGGTGGGAGGCTGCAGGAGGGAAGGGCTGTGAAGCTGAGCACTAGTGAAGGAAGATGGGCAGGAAACAAAGGTGGGGACAGCTCCGGTAGGCTCTACAGTGGGAACAGTGAATCCTGGAGCTCTGGCCAGGATAGGAGAGTGGGAGCGGGAAGGCTGGGAAGGGCTAGAGACCATGGATGCTGTGTTGGCCTTAGGAAATGTCCTTGTCCTACTAGGACCCCTTCCATTTCTAGCTTCTTCCTTCAACGTCCGCTGTTGGTCCCCAAAATCAAAGAGTCTTCCTTTGATCTCTCTTTGAATGCTCTCTAGCCTTTCCTTCTATGTTTGCACACTGTTGGGCCGTTGTTATACTTCTGAAAACTTTCGGAAGTATAAGAATAAATAGGGCACTGTGGTTCATGCCGCTAATCCAGAACTTTGGGAAGCCGAAGTGGGAGGATTACTTGAGCCCAGGAGTTTCACACCAACCTGGACAACATAGCAAGACCGTATGTCTGCAAAATTAGACATAAAAGATTTAGCTGGGCATGGTGGCATGCACCTGTAGTCCCAGCTACTCAGAAGGCTGAGGTGGTAGAATCACTTGAGCTTAGGACATGGAGGCTGCAGTGAGTTATGACTGCACAATTGGACTGCAGCCAGGGTAATAGAGTGAGATCGCGACGCCATAAACATTAAAAATAAGTAAGTAGAAAAGCCCTAAATAAGTGTTCAGACAGGAGGAGGAAGATGGCGGCGGGGGCAGGGTGAAGCATTGGCAGTGGAAAGGGGTTTGGGCGCCGGGGGCGGGGGCTGCGGGGCGACGGCCCGCTCCTGCAGCAGTGGTGGATAAAATGCCTTCACGCGCGGCAGTGAGCGGGAAGGAGAGAAGGTGCCCGAGCGCAACAAGAGTATGTCGCGGCTGTACGAGTTGATGTGGCGGATGCTGCACGCGCTGCTCTGTCTGCACCGCGCGCTCACCTCCTGGCTCCGCGTTCGGTTCCGCACCTGGAACTGGATCTGGCGGCGCTGCTGCCACACCTGGAACTGGATCTGGCGGCGCTGCTGCCACACCTGGAACTGGATCTGGCGGCGCTGCTGCCGCGCCGCTTCTGCCGTGGTCCTAGCGCCGCTTGGCTTCACGCTCCGCAAGCCCCCGGCGACTGACGGGAACCGCTGTTACCACAGGCACCCGCGCGGGGACTCGTGCCTGGCCGCCGCCCACCACCGGCTGCGCTGGCGCGCGGACGGCCGTTTCCTGGAGAAGCTGCCTGTGCACATGGGCCTGGTGTTCACCGAGGCGGAGCAGGAGCCCAGCTTCTCGGATATCGTAAGCCTCGTGGTGTGGCGTATGGCCGTGGGCATCTCCTACATTGGCGTCTACGACCACCAAGAGACAAGGTCTTGCTATGTTGCCCAGGCTAGCCTGTAACTCCTGGCCTCAAGTGTCCCTCCTGCCTTGACCTCCCAAAGTGCTGGGATTACAGGTATTTTCAAAAGAAATAATTCCAGATTGATGGATGAAATTTTAAAACAACAGCAAGAACTTCTGGGCCTAGATTGTTAAAAAGATTCACCAGAGCTTGCAAATAGTAATGACAAAGATGATCAAGTTTTAAATTGCCATTTGGCAGTGAAGGTGCTGTCCCCGAAAGATGGAAAAGCAGATACTGTGAGAACTGCTCAGGACTTTTGCCAGTTAGTAGCCGGGAAGCAAAAGAAACCCACAGAGTTGGATGTACTTAGTTCAAACGGTTGTCCTGATCCTGATTTAGTATTGAAGTTTGGTCCTGTGGACAGCACATTAGGCTTTCTTCCCTGGCACACCAGATTGACTGAGATCGTCTGTTTGCCTTCCGACCTAAACATCAGTTATGAGGACTTTTTCTCCACCCTTCCTCAACATGCAGCCTGTGAACAGCGTCTAGGAAAGTAGTGGTCTTAGGTTGCATAATTTGATTTTAGGCTATGGAGGAAAGGACACAAGTGACTCTGATGTTTACAAAGCACCTACGAAACCCTGTACACACCGAGCTCATAATCCTAATTTATCAGCAAATACAAAAAAGTGTCTTACTTGAGATTGTGTGTGTGCGCGCGCGTGTGCACACATGTGCACGTTTGTATGTGTGGAAATAAACGGGGACGTATTGGAAAAGGAAATACATAGACCTACACCTTTGAGCAAATAGCAGCGAAGTTTTACGAACTGGAATGTGACACTTAACATCTTCCGCCCCAGCTACTTCCCTGTTTTTGTGGGGAGAAGAGGGCCTGATAGAACTTTTCTGATTGCGTTTGATGGGAGGGGAATAATTTTTGTTCAGTCCTTCTGAGTGACCAAACTTTAATTTTTAAGAATAATATGGAGGGAGGACTCAAGATGGCGCTGTGAGAACAACCCAGGATTGGAGCTCTCTTTGAGTCCGTGGAGAGGTGAGTCGGAGCTGCATTTCCAGACTGATCTTTGTTGCCCACGGAACGGGGAGATTCCCAAGTATAGGGGAGACGCTGGACGCTTGGCAGTGCCTCTGCCTGGCGAAGCCAGCAGCCGGGGTGGTGGCGGCAGGCCCTGCCCATCGCTCCCCACAGGGTGCGCTTGTCCGGGTGCCCTGTTGAGCTGGCAACCTGAGACTTGAGAGGGCTGGACTTGAGACTGAGCGAGACTTGGACAGTGGGCCCGCCCAGGGGATTGCAGGGACAGAGCGTTTGGGCTAGCCCAGTGGGACGAACAAGACCGCGATTTCAAGCGATCCCCGTGCAGTCGGCCTGAGACGCTCTGTGGGGGAGGGGCGTCCACCATTACCGAGGCAACCCGCCCCAACTGAGATACATGCCCACTGCTGAGGCAGCCAGCCGTTTGCCGAGGCAACCCGTCCCTACTGAGATACACGCCCACTGCTGACGCAGCCTGCCGTTGCCGAGGCAACCCGCTACAACAGAGAGACTCCGCCTCAGGGCGTCGGGGAGACCACAGCAGAACAGCAGAGCCTGCCCTAACAGGGCAAGCCTCACAACAGCAGGGCGGACCCTCGGCAAGCAAACAGTGGCTAGTCTGCCTCCGAGCGGGGCAGGACACCTCAACGAACATCCAAAAATAAAGCCCGAACCCCCCAACACAGAGCATATGAGAAAAAAAGGGTTTTTTTAATGAGCTCTGTTGCAGCAGAATCAAACATAGCAGCCTAACAGCCCCGAATGAACAACAGAGATCACAGCTCAGCAGTTGAGCTCCTATAAAGTACAGACTGTCTCCTCAACCAGCTCCCTGACCCCTCTATATCCAAAAGACTGACATTTGGCAGGCATCATTCTGGGACAAAGATAGCAGAAAAACAAACTGGTAGCATCCCTCACTGTGCCACAGCTGCTAGAGGTGCACCCCAGACAAGCAGGGCCTGGAGTGGACCTCAGCAGTCTTACAGCGAAGGGGCTAGACTGGTAGAAGGAAAACCAAGTAACAGAAATACTTCATCATCAACAATCTGGGTGTCCACTCAGAGACCCAATCGAAAGGTCAGCAACTATGCAGACAACAAGCGGATAAATCCACAAAGATGGGAAGAAACCAGCGAAAAAAGGAGGAAAACACCCGAAACCAGAACACCTCGCCTCCTAGAAAGGACCAAAACTCCTCACCAACAAGGGAACAAAGCTGGACGGAGAATGACTGTGACGAAATGACGGAATTAGACTTCAGAAGGTGGATAGTGAGAAACTTTTGTGAGCTAAGAGAACATGTATTAAATCAATGCAAAGAAACTAAGGAACTTGAAAAAAGATATGAGGAAATGATAACAAGAATGGATAACTTAGAGAGGAATATGAATGAATTAAAGGAGCTGAAAAACACAATACGAGAACTTCGCGAAACATGCACAAGTTTCAATAGCCGAACTGACCAAGCAGAAGAAAGAATATCTGAAGTCGAAGACGAACTCAATGAAATAAAACGAGAAACCAAGATTAGAGAAAAAAGTGCAAAAACGAATGAACAAAGTCTCCAAGAAATGTGGGACTATGTGAAAAGACCTAACCTACGTTTGATAGGTGTACCAGAAGAGGACGAAGAGAATGAATCCAAGCTGGAAAATACTCTTCAGGACATCATCCAGGAAAATTTCCCCCACCTAGCAAGACAGGCCAACACTCAAATACAGGAAATACAGAGAACACCACAAAGATATTCTGCAAGAAGAGCAACCCCAAGGCACATGAGCGTCAGATTCAACAAGGTTGAAATAAAGGAGAAAATACTAAAGGCAGCCAGAGAGAAAGGTCGGGTCACCCACAAAGGGAAGCCCATCAGACTCACAGCAGATCTCTCGGCAGAAACACTACAAGCCAGAAGAGAATGGGGGCCAATATTCAACATTCTTAAAGAAAAGAACTTTCAACCCAGAATTTCATATCCAGCCAAACTGAGCTTCAGAAGTGAAGGAAGAATAAAATCCTTTCCGAACAAGCAAGTACTCAGAGATTTTGTCACCACCAGGCCTGCTTTACAAGAGCTCCTGAAAGAGGCACTACACATAGAAAGGAACAACCAGTACCAGCCATTCCAAAATCACACTAAATGCTAAAGAGCATAAACATAATGAAGAATCTACAACAACTAACAGGCAAAACAGCCACTTAGCCTCAAAATGGCAGTATCAAATTCACACATAACAATATTAACCCTAAATATAAATGGACTAAATGCACCAATCAAAAGACACAGACTGGCAAATTGGATAAAAATCCAAAACCTATCAGTGTGCTGTATCCAGGAAACCCATCTCACATGCAAGGATACACAAAGGCTCAAAATAAAGGGATGGAGGAAGATTTACCAAGCAAATGGAGAGCAAAAAAAAGCAGGAGATGCAATTCTCATGTCTGACAAAATAGACTTTAAAGCAACAAAGATCAAAAGAGACAAAGAAGGCCATTACATAATGGTAAAAGGATCGATACAACAAGAAGAGCTAACGATCCTGAACATATATGGACCCAAAGCAGGAGCACCCAGATACATAAGGCAAATTCTTAATGACTTACAAAGAGACTTAGACTCCCACACAATAATACTGGGAGACTTTAACACTCCACTGTCAATATTAGACAGATCAACCAGACAGAAAATCAACAAGGATATCCAGGGCTTGAACTCAGACCTGGAGCAAGCAAACCTGATAGACATTTACAGAACTCTCCACCCCAAATACACAAAAAACACATTCTTCTCAGCACCACATCACACCTACTCTAAAATTGACCACATAATTGGAAGTAAAGCACTGCTCAACAAATGCAAAACAACTGAAATCATAACAAACAGCCTCTCAGACCATAGTGCAATCAAGTTAGAACTCAGAATTCAGAAACCAACCCAGAACTGCACAGCTTCATGGAAACTGAACAACTGGCTCTTGAGTGTTGACTGGGTAAACAATGAAATGAAGACAGAAATAAAAAAGTCCTTCAAAACCAATGAGAACGAAGACACAACATGCCAGAACCTCTGGGACACATTTAAAGCAGTCTCTAGAGGAAAGTATATAGCAATAAGTGCCCATATGAAGAGAATGGAGAGATCCAAAATTGACACCCTATCATCAAAATTGAAAGAGCTAGAGGAGCAAGATCAAAAAAACTCAAAACCCAGCAGAAGACAAGAAATAACTAAAATCAGAGCTGAACTGAAGGAGATTGAGACACGAAAAATCCTTCAAAAAATCAATAAATCCAAGAGCTGGTTTTTTGAAAAGATCAACAAAATAGACAGACCACTAGCCAGATTGATTAAAAAGAAAAGAGAGAACAACCAAATAGATGCAATAAAAAATGATAAAGGGGAAATCACCACAGACTCCACAGAAATTCAAACCATCATCAGAGAATATTATAAACAACTCTATGCACATAAACTAGTAAACCTGGAAGAAATGGATAAATTCCTGGACTCCTGTGTCCTCCCAAGCCTAAACCAGGAGGAAGCTGAAACTATGAATAGACCAATAACAAGGTCAGAAGTCGAGGCAGCAATTAAAAGCCTACCACTCAAAGAAAGCCCAGGTCCAGACGGATTCACAGCCGAATTCTACCAGACACACAAAGAGGAGCTGGTACCATTCCTTCTAAAACTATTTCAAACAATCCAAAAAGAGGGAAGCCTTCCCAAATCATTTTACGAGACCAACATCATTCTGATACCAAAACCCGGCAGAGACCCAACAAGAAAAGAAAACTTCAGGCCAATATCCATGATGAACATAGATGCAAAAATCTTCAATAAAATATTGGCAAGCCGATTGCAAGAGAAAATCAAAAAATTTATTCATCATGATCAAGTAGGATTCATCCCGGGGATGCAAGGCTGGTTCAACATACGCAAGTCTATCAACGTAATTCACCACATAAACAGAACCAAAAACAAAAACCACGTGATTATCTCAATTGACGCAGAGAAGGCATTTGACAAAATTCAACAGCCCTTTATGCTAAAAACCCTCAATAAACTCGGTATCGATGGAACGTATCTCAAAGTAATAAAAGCTGTTTATGACAAACCAACAGCCAATATCATACTGAATGGGCAAAAACTGGAAGCATTCCCTTTGAAATCTGGCACTAGACAAGGATGCCCTCTTTCACCACTCCTATTCAATATAGTACTGGAAGTTCTAGCCAGAGCAATCAGGCAAGAAAAAGAAATAAAGGGTATTCAAATAGGAAAGGTGGAAGCCAAATTGTCTCTATTTGCAGACGACATGATAGTATACTTAGAAGACCCCATCGCCTCAGCCCAAAAACTCCTGAAACTGATAAGCAGCTTCAGCAAAGTCTCAGGATATAAAATCAATGTGCAAAAATCACAAGCCTTCCTCTACACCAATAACAGACTTAAAGAAAGCCAAGTCAAGAACGAACTGCCATTCACAATTGCTACAAAAAGAATAAAATACCTTGGAATACAACTCACAAGGAACGTAAGGGACCTCTTCAAGGAGAACTACAAACCACTGCTCAACGAAATCAGAGAGGACACAAACAGATGGAGAAACATTCCATGTTCATGGTTAGGAAGGATTAATATTGTGAAAATGGCTATACTGCCCAAAGTAATTTACAGAATCAACGCTATCCCCATCAAGCTACCATTGACTTTCTTCAGAGAACTGGAAAAAACCACCATGAACTTCATATGGAACCAAAAGAGAGCCCGCATAGCCAAGTCAATTCTAAGCAAAAAGAACACAGCGGGGGGCATCACACTACCGGATTTCAAACTATACTACAAGGCTACAGTAATCAAAACAGCATGGTACTGGTACCAAAACAGAGATATAGACCAATGGAACAAAACAGGGACACCGGAGGCAACACAACATATCTACAACTATACAATCTTTGATAAACCTGACAAAAACCAGCAATGGGGAAAGGATTCCCTGTTTAACAA